CTCACCTGCATGGCGGTGTCAAGCAGGATGTTGTGAGGGTGTATGCGGCCATGCACGACCCCATGGCTCTGGATGTGCTTCAGCCCGCGCAGCACACCGGCGGTCACATCCAGGCACTGCCACACGGACAGAGGCATGCAGCCCTCTGCATTGCGGGAGGAGGAGGGGGGCAGAGGGGAGTAGAGGGAGTGAAAGGGAGGAGTGGGGACATAAGAGACAGAGGGAAACATACAGAGGGGAACAAGCAGGCAAAGACGCAGAGGCATGGAGGGCGGGGTAGGCATGGAGAGAGTAGGGTGGCGGGGCGGGGGGCCAGGCGTGGATGTACCTGCAAGGAGGCGTGGATGTACCTGCATGGAGGCGTGGATGTACCTGCAAGGAGGCGTGGATGTACCTGCATGGAGGCGTGGATGTACCTGCATGGAGGCGTGGATGTACCTGCATGGAGGCGTGGATGTACCTGCATGGAGGGGTGGATGTACCTGCATGGAGGCGGGTGTGCAGATTGCCTCCTGGCACCCACTCAAACACCAGCACCTGCTCCTCTGCTTGCTCCTCTGCATGACTGGCAGCAGCAGCAGCATCATCACTCGCACTCTTTGCAGTATCGGCAGCAGCAGCAGCAGCAGCAGGCGAGTGATGGTCAAATGAAGTGCCACGCTTCTCCCAGCAATACCCCAGCAGTCGCTGCAGGTTGGTATGGCGGATGGCCCACAGCATGGCCACCTGGGCAGGAACAGAAGCAGGCACAAGGAGGGGGGGATACAATGGCAAGTTAGAAGGGGCACAGCACAGCACAGCACAGCACCGCACCGCACCGCACAGCACAGCACCGCACAGCACAGCACAGCACAGCACAGCACCGCACAGCACCGCACCGCACCGCACCGTACAGCACAGCACAACACAGCACAGCACAGCACAGCACAGCACAACACAGCATCGCACCGCACAGCACAGCACAGCACAGCACAGCAAAGCACCTGTGGGTCACTCCGGACGGAAGCGGGCTCCCCACCTGGGAAAAGGCGCTAGAGGAAATTGCAAAAAGGCTGGTGAAATGGAGGCAGAAGTACCTCACGGAGAAATCAAGGGGAGCAGTGGCAAATGACTACATTCAACCGATCATGACCTTCCAGGCGCAGGTTTACCCGCCGCCTGTGAAAGTTTGGGTAGAGCTGGAGAGGATGATTCACAATTTTGTCTCGGGGAACAAAGCAACATCGACGCGGGGCTTCTTCCTCTGGAGCAAGGAGCTGCTGTACACCCCCCGGAGCGAGGGAGGTCTGGGTGTGAGGGACCCGAGCATCACCCTAGCATGTCTGTCGGCGAGGAGAATAGGTCTGCTAATGACTGAGACGGATCAGCTGAAGCGGAAATTGATGATTCAGGCAGCAGACCTTCCCCTGGGGTTGGACACCTTCATGTCGCACGATCGCCTCCTGCGACACTGGGAGGGAAGGAGTCAGAGGTGGAAGCAGACCTGCGAAACTTTTATGAAGTCACCGCTGTGCATAAAAAAAGTAAACGTGGTGCGGGAAGTAATCGCGGAGGAAAGGCTGGTTTTCAACAGGGCCATTATGGTCGGCGTAGCCACGTCCGTGGGGGGGCAGAAAGACGCAGAACCGCTCTGGAACTTCCGGCTGGGAGACATGGTGAAGCAGCAACAAGATGGTAGCTGGTCTCTGAAAACCATGGCGGAGCTCACGGCGAGACTAGGCGGGAAAGGGCCTGCGAGACTCGCGCTGAAGGGCTTCGCAGCTGCTCCTGAGGATTGGAAGGTTTGCTTGCTGACCCCTACGGCGAACTCGGCTGGCTCGGCTCTGGGGGACCGGGGAGGGCTTCCGCAGCTGCCAATTCTGAAAGATGGGGAGGTGGTTCCGCTCAAGGAGATGAGAAATCACTGGAAGGGAGTGCGCGGGCTGTCGCACAGGATGCAGAGATGGGCTGACAAGTGGAAAGGTTCGATCAACTGGAAGCTGATCACGGGCATTTGTGAATCTCTCGCTACGCCAAACCGACCGAGAGATATGTTAACACGGGTGTATAACTTCAACTTACAAGTGGGGGAGAGACTGGCTTTCCTGGCCGACAAGCCAGTCTGTCCACACTGCGGGGGCGAGGAGACACTGGAGCACTGTCTCTTCACCTGCCCGAAGATTCAGATGGTGGTGCTGGCGCTAAAGAGATCGCTCCGCTTGATCAATCCGTCCCGCGAAACAGAGTCCCTGGGGGACCTGCTTTTCCGCAAAGCCGGCTCGTGCACCGCCTTCCCAGAGGCGACTCTGATTGCAATTGCGCTCCACCAACTCTGGCTGGAGAGATGTGAGGCGGTCTTCAGGGGGAAAAGATTCCGCGCGCGGAGAGTGCTGAGGAAGGTTATCTTCGCCTTCCGCCAACATGCACGGGTCTATGTGAAGGCTCGCCTTACCACGTGGCATAAGAAGAAAAACACGGCACAGGCTGGCAAATTCCAAAAAGGGCTACTGGAGGAGCACCGTCTGCTGAGTAGGATTCGGAAAGCTGATGACAAGAAGTGGACCTGGGCAAGATCATTCGAGTCCATCTGGTCCAATCCCAGGACAGTGTACAATCCACCGTAGGTACCTGCTGGGGCAGTCGGCCCTGCCCTTGCATGATGCGGTTACGACCGATATTGTCTGTATGCATTAACCTCATCGTGTATACTTTCAATTCAAAAAAAAAAAAAAAAAAAAAAAAAAAAAACAGCAAAGCACAGCACAGCACAGCACAGCACAGCACCGCACAGCACAGGCACGGCACGGCACAGCACAGCACAGCACAGCACAGCACAGCACTGCTGTGTGGCTCATGTCCAGATGCCGGAGAGAAGGGATCCCTGAGAAGGGAAAGGTGACAGGAGAATGGGAGAAGGGGGATAAGTGACCATTGAGGGCGCATCAAGGAACGAGGTGGTGACTGCTGTGTGACTCAGGTCTAAATGCCGGAGAGAATGTATCCCTGAGGAGAGAAAGATGAGAGGAAGGAGAGAAGCGGGACAAGGTGAGCGTTGCGGGCGAATCAAGGAACGAGGCCTGGGAGGAGGGGTGGGGGTGGGGGGGGGATGGCACAAGGGGAGGCTTACACGGGATGACAGCAGTGTTAGTGCCGTCATTGACTTGCGGGTTGCGCGAGAGGTCACGGCATATTTTTTAGATGTCTCAGAATATATTCCTTCACCGTTCACTTTGTTTTTTTCCTGGTCCGAAGTGCCCCTGACGCTCTGAACCGGCTTACACGGGATGACAGCAGTGGCAGTGGTGTCATTGACTTGCGGGTTGCGCGAGAGGTTAAGGCATGCGAGCGATGGGAGGTCTGGGAGGAGGGGAGGGGGGCACAAGAGGGAGGATGGAGAGGGCATTGCACCTATGTGCCACTGCACCTTTGCATCACTGCACCTATGTGCCACTGCACCTATGTGCCACTGCACCTTTGCATCACTGCACCTATGTGTCACTGCACCTATGTGTCACTGCACCTATGTGTCACTGCACCTACGTGTCACTGCTCCTATGTGTCACTGCACCTACGTGTCACTGCTCCTATGTGTCACTGCACCTATGTGCCACTGCACCTACGTGTCACTGCACCTATGTGTCACTGCATCTATGCGTCACTGCACCTTTGCATCACTGCACCTATGTGTCACTGCACCTATGCTTCACTGCACCTATTTGTCACTGCACCTATGTGTCATTGCACCTATGTGTCACTGCACCTATGTGTCATTGCACCTATGTGTCACTGCACCTATGTGTCATTGCACCTATGTGTCAATGCACCTATGCTTCACTGCACCTATGTGTCACTGCACCTATGCTTCACTGCACCTATGTGTCACTGCACCTATGTGTCATTGCACCTATGTGTCAATGCACCTATGTGTCATTGCACCTATGTGTCAATGCACCTATGTGTCACTGCACCTATGTGTCAATGCACCTATGTGTCACTGCACCTATGTGCCACTGCACCTTTGCATCACTGCACCTATGTGTCACTGCACCTATGTGTCACTGCACCTATGTGTCATTGCACCTATGTGTCACTGCACCTATGTGTCATTGCACCTATGTGTCACTGCACCTATGTGTCAATGCACCTATGTGTCATTGCACCTATGTGTCAATGCACCTATGTGTCACTGCACCTTTGTGTCACTGCACCTATGTGTCAATGCACCTATGTGTCACTGCACCTATGTGCCACTGCACCTTTGCATCACTGCACCTATGTGTCACTGCACCTATGTGTCACTGCACCTATGTGTCATTGCACCTATGTGTCACTGCACCTATGTGTCATTGCACCTATGTGTCACTGCACCTATGTGTCAATGCACCTATGTGTCATTGCACCTATGTGTCAATGCACCTATGTGTCACTGCACCTATGTGTCACTGCACCTATGTGTCAATGCACCTATGTGTCACTGCACCTATGTGTCACTGCACCTATGTGTCACTGCAGCCACTGCACCTGCATGGCAAGTGGCACCTCACCTGCATGGCGGTGTCAAGCAGGATGTTGTGAGGGTGTATGCGGCCATGCACGACCCCATGGCTCTGGATGTGCTTCAGCCCGCGCAGCACACCGGCGGTCACATCCAGGCACTGCCACACGGACAGAGGCATGCAGCCCTCTGCATTGCGGGAGGAGGAGGGGGGCAGAGGGGAGTAGAGGGAGTGAAAGGGAGGAGTGGGGACATAAGAGACAGAGGGAAACATACAGAGGGGAACAAGCAGGCAAAGACGCAGAGGCATGGAGGGCGGGGTAGGCATGGAGAGAGTAGGGTGGCGGGGCGGGGGGCCAGGCGTGGATGTACCTGCAAGGAGGCGTGGATGTACCTGCATGGAGGCGTGGATGTACCTGCAAGGAGGCGTGGATGTACCTGCATGGAGGCGTGGATGTACCTGCATGGAGGCGTGGATGTACCTGCATGGAGGCGTGGATGTACCTGCATGGAGGGGTGGATGTACCTGCATGGAGGCGGGTGTGCAGATTGCCTCCTGGCACCCACTCAAACACCAGCACCTGCTCCTCTGCTTGCTCCTCTGCATGACTGGCAGCAGCAGCAGCATCATCACTCGCACTCTTTGCAGTATCGGCAGCAGCAGCAGCAGCAGCAGGCGAGTGATGGTCAAATGAAGTGCCACGCTTCTCCCAGCAATACCCCAGCAGTCGCTGCAGGTTGGTATGGCGGATGGCCCACAGCATGGCCACCTGGGCAGGAACAGAAGCAGGCACAAGGAGGGGGGGATACAATGGCAAGTTAGAAGGGGCACAGCACAGCACAGCACAGCACCGCACCGCACCGCACAGCACAGCACCGCACAGCACAGCACAGCACAGCACAGCACCGCACAGCACCGCACCGCACCGCACCGTACAGCACAGCACAACACAGCACAGCACAGCACAGCACAGCACAACACAGCATCGCACCGCACAGCACAGCACAGCACAGCACAGCAAAGCACCTGTGGGTCACTCCGGACGGAAGCGGGCTCCCCACCTGGGAAAAGGCGCTAGAGGAAATTGCAAAAAGGCTGGTGAAATGGAGGCAGAAGTACCTCACGGAGAAATCAAGGGGAGCAGTGGCAAATGACTACATTCAACCGATCATGACCTTCCAGGCGCAGGTTTACCCGCCGCCTGTGAAAGTTTGGGTAGAGCTGGAGAGGATGATTCACAATTTTGTCTCGGGGAACAAAGCAACATCGACGCGGGGCTTCTTCCTCTGGAGCAAGGAGCTGCTGTACACCCCCCGGAGCGAGGGAGGTCTGGGTGTGAGGGACCCGAGCATCACCCTAGCATGTCTGTCGGCGAGGAGAATAGGTCTGCTAATGACTGAGACGGATCAGCTGAAGCGGAAATTGATGATTCAGGCAGCAGACCTTCCCCTGGGGTTGGACACCTTCATGTCGCACGATCGCCTCCTGCGACACTGGGAGGGAAGGAGTCAGAGGTGGAAGCAGACCTGCGAAACTTTTATGAAGTCACCGCTGTGCATAAAAAAAGTAAACGTGGTGCGGGAAGTAATCGCGGAGGAAAGGCTGGTTTTCAACAGGGCCATTATGGTCGGCGTAGCCACGTCCGTGGGGGGGCAGAAAGACGCAGAACCGCTCTGGAACTTCCGGCTGGGAGACATGGTGAAGCAGCAACAAGATGGTAGCTGGTCTCTGAAAACCATGGCGGAGCTCACGGCGAGACTAGGCGGGAAAGGGCCTGCGAGACTCGCGCTGAAGGGCTTCGCAGCTGCTCCTGAGGATTGGAAGGTTTGCTTGCTGACCCCTACGGCGAACTCGGCTGGCTCGGCTCTGGGGGACCGGGGAGGGCTTCCGCAGCTGCCAATTCTGAAAGATGGGGAGGTGGTTCCGCTCAAGGAGATGAGAAATCACTGGAAGGGAGTGCGCGGGCTGTCGCACAGGATGCAGAGATGGGCTGACAAGTGGAAAGGTTCGATCAACTGGAAGCTGATCACGGGCATTTGTGAATCTCTCGCTACGCCAAACCGACCGAGAGATATGTTAACACGGGTGTATAACTTCAACTTACAAGTGGGGGAGAGACTGGCTTTCCTGGCCGACAAGCCAGTCTGTCCACACTGCGGGGGCGAGGAGACACTGGAGCACTGTCTCTTCACCTGCCCGAAGATTCAGATGGTGGTGCTGGCGCTAAAGAGATCGCTCCGCTTGATCAATCCGTCCCGCGAAACAGAGTCCCTGGGGGACCTGCTTTTCCGCAAAGCCGGCTCGTGCACCGCCTTCCCAGAGGCGACTCTGATTGCAATTGCGCTCCACCAACTCTGGCTGGAGAGATGTGAGGCGGTCTTCAGGGGGAAAAGATTCCGCGCGCGGAGAGTGCTGAGGAAGGTTATCTTCGCCTTCCGCCAACATGCACGGGTCTATGTGAAGGCTCGCCTTACCACGTGGCATAAGAAGAAAAACACGGCACAGGCTGGCAAATTCCAAAAAGGGCTACTGGAGGAGCACCGTCTGCTGAGTAGGATTCGGAAAGCTGATGACAAGAAGTGGACCTGGGCAAGATCATTCGAGTCCATCTGGTCCAATCCCAGGACAGTGTACAATCCACCGTAGGTACCTGCTGGGGCAGTCGGCCCTGCCCTTGCATGATGCGGTTACGACCGATATTGTCTGTATGCATTAACCTCATCGTGTATACTTTCAATTCAAAAAAAAAAAAAAAAAAAAAAAAAAAAACAGCAAAGCACAGCACAGCACAGCACAGCACAGCACCGCACAGCACAGGCACGGCACGGCACAGCACAGCACAGCACAGCACAGCACAGCAAAGAACAGCACAGCACCGCACCGCACAGCACAGCACACCACAGCACAGCACCGCACAGCACCGCACAGCACAGCACTGCACAGCACCGCAAAGCACAGCACCGCACCGCACCGGACCGTACCGCATAGCACAGCACAGCACAGCACCGCACCGCACAGCACAGCACAGCACAGCACAGCACAGCACAACACAGCACCGCACCGCACCGCACAGCACAGCACAGCACAGCACAGCACAGCACAGCACAGCACAGCACAGCACAGCACAGCACAGCACAGCACAGCACCGCACAGCACAGGAACGGCACGGCACAGCACAGCACAGCACAGCACAGCACAGCACAGCAAAGAACAGCACAGCACCGCACAGCACAGCACAGCACACCACAGCACAGCACCGCACAGCACCGCACAGCACAGCACTGCACAGCACCGCACAGCACATCACAGCACAGCAAAGAACAGCACAGCACCGCACAGCACAGCACAGCACAGCACCGCACAGCACAGGAACGGCACGGCACAGCACAGCACAGCACCGCACAGCACAGCAAAGAACAGCACAGCACACCACACTGCTTGCGGCGGAGCTACTCAAAGCTCTCTCACCTCTATCTGGAAGCTTGCTGAAAGCTCCTCGTTGCCGCGCCTCACAACGAACCACACCTGGCGTGCATCCACAGGACTCACTGCCTTGTACCTCTGCCCCCCACCGCTGCTGCTGCTGCCCCACCCCTGCTTCTCCACCCTGGTAGCGTCACTCCACCCACCCGTTGCCTGTGCCAGGAGGGACGTGGGGAGCTGTGGACAGCGGGATCGGCTGAACACACGGGATGCTGAGGGGGACGAGACGAGGGAAGGGAGAGCGGGGTGAGAGGAGGAGGGAGATCGAGTAGAGAACTTGATGGCGAGATGTTGGTGAGCGACAGCAGTGGGCTGTGCGAGCAGCAATGCGTGGGGCGCAAGAGAAGCGATGCTGAGCAGCAATGCGTGGGGCACAAGAGAAGCGATGCTGAGCAGCAATGCGTGGGGCACAAGAGAAGCGATGCTGAGCAGCAATGCGTGGGGCACAAGAGAAGCGATGCTGAGCAGCAATGCGTGGGGCGCAAGAGAAGCGATGCTGAGCAGCAATGCGTGGGGCGCAAGAGAAGCGATGCTGAGCAGCAGCACGCCACATGCCCCTTGAAGCCAGCCATGCCACATACCTCCTAAGGTGTTGCTAGCTACGCACTTGCTCTCACCTGAGGCAGCTAGTGGCTGTAGTTTCGACCCCTGGGCTCCCAGTTTCACACACCCAGTAGCCACGACAGTAGCAGCAGCAGCAGCAGCCACAAGCAGACACAACGCTCCCACGGATATCCCCATGATTGCGGAGGTTGGCAAACCGGTGGAGGGCGGGGGAGCAGGAGGAGGGGCGAGTGGAGAGGAGAGGGCAAGAAGAGAGGAGAGAGGAGGAGGCGGGGGGCTCATGAGCGCAAGGCTGGGAGGGAGAGGAGGTGAGAGGGGGGGAGGGGGAGGAGGGTGGCGGAGTTGGCCTGTGGGGAGAGAGGTGGGGAGGGAAGCGGGGTGTGGAGGGATTGTGGAGGGGGATTCAGCTGTTGTGGTGGGGAGCTGTGATGCCAATGCACGCTGTCAGATGGCATGTTGACTGACGAATGGCATGTTGACTGACGAATGGCAAGTTGACTGACAAATGGCATGTTGACTGACGAATGGCATGTTCACTGACGAATGGCATGTTGACTGACGAATGACATGCTGACTGACGAATGGCATGTTGACTGACGAATGGATGTTGACTGACGAATGGCATGTTGACTGACGAATGGCATGTTGACTGACGAATGACATGTTGACTTACGAATGGATGTTGACTGACGAATGGCATGACGAATTTCAGATACCACATGCACAAGGGCACACGAGAAGTCATTCCACTTGGAGTGAGAGACACACAGGCGTGCAGAGCCATGGAAAATTATTCACTGCTCACCGTTGAGTGGGATGCACGAGGCACAGAAGTCAAGGCAGAGAATCTTGCAGAAGAAGGAGGTGGTGTTCTGCTGAATCTCACAGCTGCTGCCAGCTGTGCTGCATGTCACCCCTACAGGAGAGGATCTGGACAGGGCAAGATGGTAGGGGAGTAAGGAAGAGTAATAGGGAAGGGTGTGGTCAGGAGTGCCGTGCAAAGGAGGATGCGAAAGGAAAGGTGCTTCTATCTTTTGTTTTGCCTATGTACATGTGTGTGTGTGTGTGTTTTGGTGCGTGCGTGCGAGTGTGAGTGCACGCATGTGTATACAATTTATGTATCAACATATACCCCACGAACATCTCAGCATTGGTGTCTTTCGATCTATTTGTCTAATGCAGGTTCCCACGAGTTTCAAGTGTGTGGCATTCTGCATTCGTAGTGCGCCTGCGCGACTGAAAAAATGGTGTGCTCATTTCGGTGTCCCTGATCCTACAGGAAGATAGCAGTCAGGTGAGCTTTTAGAAGGACCCAAACACACGCACGCACGCACGCACGTATGCACGCACGCACGCACGCACGCACACACGCACACATCCACACACACACATAGACACACAGACACAGACACACAGACACACAGACACAGACACACAGACACAGACACAGACGCAGACGCAGACACAGACGCAGACGCAGACACAGACGCAGACGCAGACGCAGACGCAGACGCACACACACACACAAACAAACACACACACACACACACACACACACATACACATACACACACACACATACACACACATACACACACACACACACACACACATACACACACACACACACACAAAAACCCAAAGAATGATGCGGGGTGAGAGGTAGTGCAGAGCACCAACATTAGAGTGAGGTTGGGGAGAGCACCAAGGGAGGCGGGCAGCGAGCCCGACACGTTGGTGTTGGCCACGTCCCTGGGACAGGGCAGCCGGGGCGATGGGACAGGGTGGCCGTGGGTTGCGCGACACACGGAGACAAGGAGATGGGACCAGTAGGTGGGGTGAGGATGAGTCATGATGGCATGGCACCCTGTAAGGATGAGTCATGAGGGAAGGTAGACAGGAGGGAAGGTAGACAGGAGGGAAGGTAGACACGAGGGAAGGTAGACACGAGGGAAGGTAGACACGAGGGAAGGTAGACAGGAGGGAAGGTAGACACGAGGGAAGGTAGACACGAGGGAAGGTAGACACGAGGGAAGGTAGACAGGAGGGAAGGTAGACAGGAGGGAAGGTAGACACGAGGGAAGGTAGACACGAGGGAAGGTAGACACGAGGGAAGGTAGACACGAGGGAAGGTAGACAGGAGGGATGGTAGACACGAGGGAAGGTAGACACGAGGGAAGGTAGACACGAGGGAAGGTAGACACGAGGGAAGGTAGACACGAGGGATGGTAGACACGAGGGAAGGTAGACACGAGGGAAGGTAGACACGAGGGAAGGTAGACACGAGGGAAGGTAGACACGAGGGAAGGTAGACACGAGGGATGGTAGGCATGGAGGGAAGTGGATGGGCCTGAGCAGAAGAGAGAGAGGTTACCCAAAGGCCATATACACGCACCGTGCTGTATGGCACTCGCGCGCGCGCATGCGTGTGATTGTGTGAGGGTGCGTCCGTGCGTGCGTGCGTGTGTGTATGTGTTGGTGCGTGCGTGCATGCGCGCGCATGTCTGCATGCATGGGGGCAACCGTGCGCATGTGGGTGCCTGAATGTGTGCACGCATGCGTGTGTGACTCCCCTCGCATGCTCACAACCCCACCCACATACAAGTACTGCAGGCTGGCCAGCTGACCAATGGTGCTGGGGATCGTGCCACTCAGGGGAGTGTTGGCCACCCGGCTGGTATGCAGCGCATTGCCACGTGGATGCAATGCCATGTGGATGCATTCCCATGTGGATGCATTCCCATGTGGATGCATTCCCATGTGGATGCATTCCCATGTGGATGCATGCCCATGTGGATGCATTCCCATGTGGATGCATGCCCATGTGGATGCATGCCCATGTGGATGCATGCCCATGTGGATGCATTCCCATGTGGATGCATGCCCATGTGGATGCATTCCCATGTGGATGCATTCCCATGTGGATGCATGCCCATGTGGATGCATTCCCATGTGGATGCATGCCCATGTGGATGCATTCCCATGTGGATGCATGCCCATGTGGATGCATTCCCATGTGGATGCATTCCCACGTGGATGCATTCCCACGTGGATGCATTCCCAAGGGAATGCATTGCCACGTGGATGCATTGCCACGTGGATGCCCGGTAGTATGCAGAGGGACATGGAGGGGCAGACAACAGGGCATGCTATTGGTGGGATGGTGTGATGATCAGTTAAGACCAGAGGCTCCTTGAATTGTGTGGCGTTGCTGCTGGTGATGATTATGGGGAGGAGGAGGAGGAGGAGGAGGAGGAGGAGGAGGAGGAGGAGGAGGAGGAGGAGGAGGAGGAGGAGGAGGAGGAGGAGGAGGAGTATGATCATGATCTTGATGATGATTGATAAAAATGATGGCTCGAGAAAAACTAGCTGCAGAGGTTTTAATAGGTGTGCATCATACTGTAACCAACTAGTGTTTGTGCGGGCAGGTCAAGTGAAAAACTGTCCACCTGACCTAAATTCGGTTGGTTGGATTCCCATCTCATCCTTCTTTACCCCGTCATTATGTAACACGAGAGGTGTCACAATGGCAGCGTGGCAAATGCACCTCACATATAGAAAACGAGCAAGATCCTTTCACCAGACCAAAAGACTTGTCAGCAGAGCAGACCCGAAAGGTAGGTTTAGGCACAGCACGGAACAGTCTCGTTAGGGACGGGAGAGAGGGAGGGAGGGAGGGAGGGAGGGAGGGAGGGAGGGAGGGAGGGAGGGAGGGAGGGAGGGAGGGAGGGAGGGAGGGAGGGAGGGAGGGCGCTGACAAGGAGGTGAGGGAGGAGAGGCCGGAGATGGTGGAGGGGATGGTTCCTGAAACGTTGGTATCGGCTAGTGTTCTGGCCAAGGGCCATGCCGGGTGTGGAGCGTGGAGAGGGGAGGCGACAGGGGAAGGGAAGAGAGGCAAATAAAAATCATCTGCAAATGGGGAGGGAGCAAACGGGGAGGGGAAAGAGTGAGTGGTACATAAAGGACAATTCAGTGGAATGCGAGATTCACGAGGGTAGATTGGTTGTGCTATGGAGGGAATGCAAAAGGCACTGGTTGGCAGATCTCATCATTGACACTCGTGCTGTCAGCAGCATACATGCACTGCAACACCCCATGCACTGCAACACCCCATGCACTGCAACACCCCATGCACTGCAACACCCCATGCACTGCAACACCCCATGCACTGCAACACCCCATGCACTGCAATACCCCATGCACTGCAGCACCCCATGCACTGCAACACCCCATGCACTGCAACACCCCATGCGCTGCAACACCCCATGCACTGCAACACCCCATACACTGCAACACCCCATGCACTGCAACACCCCATGCACTGCAACACCCCATGCACAGCAACACCCCATGCACTGCAATACCCCATGCACTGCAACACCCCATGCACTGCAACACCCCATGCACTGCAACACCCCATGCGCTGCAACACCCCATGCACTGCAACACCCCATGCACTGCAACACCCCGTGCACTGCAACACCCCATGCACTGCAACACCCCATGCACTGCAACACCCCATGCACTGCAACACCCCATGCACTGCAGCACCCCATGCACTGCAACACCCCATGCACTGCAGCACCCCATGCACTGCAACACCCCATGCACTGCAACACCCCATGCACTGCAACACCCCATGCACTGCAACACCCCATGCACTGCAACACCCCATGCACTGCAACACCCCATGCACTGCAACACCCCATGCACTGCAACACCCCATGCACTGCAACACCCCATGCACTGCAACACCCCATGCACTGCAGCACCCCATGCACTGCAACACCCCATGCACTGCAGCACCCCATGCAAAGTTACAGAGTCTCGAGTTTCTTGAGTGTCCCGATGGTGGAGGGAATGGGTCCAGAAATCAGCGTTTGACCAAATTCCCTGCCACGTGCCATGTGCCATGGGTGAGATGTGAAAAGTCGCAATATGTATGCGGCACTTGACATGTAACGTGCGCATGTGCCATGTTGTACCATATGGCTTGTGGCCCGTCGCTTGAGCCTTCCATGATTGTGTTTGTCACCCTGCTGGCGGAAGCAGCAATTTCAATCTAGACATTGGGGGGCCATGACACAACGATTCTACACTTCTTAAAACCAAACAACACAAATATCTCAGCAATCTTGCCATTAGACTTCCTAAACCCTAAGGATTTTGTCATAGCCTTACCAATCTTGTTTCTTTTTACATCCTGAGGGGTGGTGAGAGGTGCTCACAAGTGAACAAGTTGAGAGAGGCGTGTGATGAAAGAGGGAATGGAGCCAACGAAGTTATTCGAGGACGCGTCACTACAGACAGGGCAGGGGCAGGAGGCAGAGGGCAGAGGGCAGAGAACGAGCAGAGAGAGAGAGAAGATGTGATACTGGTATATGTGATTACCGTGTACTGGTAGATGTTGCACAAGCCTTTACTTTCCATTTCCACCACCATCCATCCTGCCTGTTTTGCACTGCACTGCACCGCACTGCACTGCGCTGCACGTCCTCTCGTTACGTCACTCCACTATCTCGCTCTCTCCAACGCATTTTGCAACGTCTCAAAGCATGGGTAGAGGGGAGATATTGTGGCACGCACGAGAAGGTGAGTGCCTTTTAGGCGAATCAAAAGTTTGTCTTTCAACCCGCAACTTTGAGGCGCCTCAAAAGTCCAAGCACGGAGAGAGGGGTGGCACTGTGGCACGCACAAGTTAGTGAGCGCGGTGAGGGTGGCGATGCTGGTGGGGATGGTGCCGTTCAGATGCAAGCCTGCGAAGTTCCTGCGATCATCCGAGTTGTGAAGCGAAAACGAATAACGAGAAGAAAGGTGGGCAGGAACTCCTTATGTAGCCGTAGAACAAGGCTGAGGGGCAAGTTTGGGAAGGGAAGGGGACTAGGCTAAGATTTCCTCTCTCTCAATCTCTCCGCCGGATTTGTGAACCAAAAAACGACTAATCGCAGCACAAAGCACAACACGCAGCACACATCACAAAGCATACAGGACACAACCCACAACGCACCACACACGGAGCACAGCGCACAATGCAGTGCGCACTGTAAGAAAATGTGGATTCGAACCGCAGCAAGCGGAGTGGTCTCCTCTGGGTTCGTAACTAAACGCTTGGGGTACTTAGAGTGGGAAAAAGGTAGAATCAGGACTTGGTAAGTCCAACTTCAGTAGAGAACGTACGCGTACGCGTTTCGGCCGCGAGGCCTTGGTCAGCGCCGTAGGATTACAGAAAGAGAGACTACTCTAACCCCTTTTCTACCTATTTCCCGTTATCCTCTAGCTTCCCCGAATTCCCCTAGGTCTAGACAAACTCCAGGTGTAATCTACCCGGTACACAGTGTGTCTCACAGGCTGGTGATCTGCCCCTCTGCATCGCACTCGATCTTATCAGGGAGCACGCACACCCCGCCAGCCGTCCAGCTGCTGAAGGACGTCTTCCACGCCGCCGCGCACTCCTGCAGCACCGCCGCTGCCACGCATTTCGGGCATCGCGGGCAAAAACTATGCGAAATTGCAGGCAGCGCGACAGACAGCGCAGGCAGCACGGGTAACACGTGTAACGTACGGCCAGCCAAGGGATCACGGGATAGAAACGGTGGCATCGGGATGGAAATGGTGGCATCGGCATGGAAATGGTACTATGAGGCAATGTCGAACACTGGCAGCATCCTGGCAGCATCCTGGCTGAACCCACACTGCACTGGATGTTACCGCACAACACCAGTTCGCAACCCCCCCCCCCACCTTGGGACGCCTGTATCGAAACTGCGCTGCAGACGTGCGAAAGAAGCGCCATTGCCGCCACCCACACCAGCACACGCGCGCGCAAAGCTTGAAAGCCCCCACGCCGCGACCCCACGGTAAAACCACGCCAATCGTATGCTGCTCCCGCCGTTCTCCGCATATCCACACCTCTCCGCGGGCGGCCACATTTCAGAACAACGGCTCTGGAAAAGCCGCTCGGGTTGAGCGTTGCTCGCCCCGCCATGGCTCCCAGTCACTGGGCTATGGTAACCATGACGGCGAGGGCGACGCGGGCAAGCGAGGGCGACGCGGGCAAGACAGGGCGACGGCGAAGGCGAGGCGGGCAAGCGACGGCGACGGGGGAAAGCAGGGCCGTCGCGGGCAAGCGAGAGCAAGGCGTCGGGATGGGCTAAGCGGGGTAAACCAGGGGAAAGGCAAGGGTGACGGATAAGGCACACGTTGGCGTCACGCGAGTAGACGAATCGGGTTCTTAGCGCGGCTCGCGCGAATGCGAGCTGTATGGTAATGATATGAATTGGGCATTGGCGACAGGTTATTCTGGGCTACTCTAATTAGTATACTAAAGGGCCACTGGTGTGTTTGCGCGCATCGAGAATGTGCTCACGCGCGACATGCGTTGCACTCGAGTGAAGCTCGTGTGATTGCAGCCTGTTTCTCGCTATACTGACATCCGGTATACTGAAGTCCGGAGTGAAAGAGCACGGTTTATGGTGGTTTATTTATGTTTCCGTATGTTTTCTATCATACACGATTAGTAAGCCAGTTATGCACGTTCATTCTAACGAGAAACATGGTGTATTCCAGAAATCAGGGGGGGTCGTATGAGCGGCTACGATTATGGCCAAGTCTATCACGTGTGGACAGGTGAGAATCGCGGACAATTGCAGAACGTTGCGTTCTATTATGATATGGTGTATCACGTTTATTCATACGACGCCCCGTAGTACGTACGGGGTGGGCTAAGGTGCGGTATATGGGTCGGTTCACGGGGCGGGCTACGGTGCGAACTACGGGGCGGGCTACGGAGCGGGCTACAATAATACAAAAATCATTGTTCTCTTGACATCCAAGGCTGATGAATCAACGTACAGCAGGGCTCTAGTTTGGTTTTAGGGCACCCAGGTCAATCAGGGTGCAACCCTTGCATTTGGCCCATAGCTAGGGTGACATTTTGACTGCCCTTACAGAAAAAGGGTAAATCTTTGCAGTGATAACCTAAAGGTATACATCTGAGTACACTGTTTGATAACTAACTTAATGATTTCACTATTATCTACTTGTACTACTACTACTACTGTACTACATCTACAACAGCCATTCCTACAATAACTACTACATCTACAATAACGTCACTCCGCCGCAGCAGTTTCCTGATCCTCTACAAACTGAGTGCGGCCGGCTGTGGTCCGATGGAAGTCGCGTTGCTGGCGCCGGTTCTTCATGTTTCAAAAGACATCCACTACCGCAAACCAATCCATGTGGTATTCTAACAGTGAGCAACGCATGAGGTGTCCCAGGCTGTTATCAGACAAGCATCCGCGGCCCCAAGTCTTGATAATGTTTTGCTTGGAGAAGTCGCGCCCACACTCCACCGTGCTCAACGGCAGCACAGCCACAGCCTGCCAGAGACGCACGATGTTCGGGTAACTGGTCTGCCACGAGTCGTCTTCTAGAATCAGCGACAAGGCTTGGTGAAAGTCTTGATCCAGGTGTTGCGAGTGCATTGTGGATGTGAACATCCACAACTCCGACTGTGCTCGGAGGTAGCTGAATCCTGCCAATAAACAAGGGCATAACAGAGAAGAAGACATGAGTTAGAATGAGGAATAAAAGGAGTAAAAGTGGTCCACAAACAAGCAAACCATACACCATAAGGGGTCACTCACCAGGGAGTTTCCCGCCGTACAGTTCGTTCAGCTGCCTCAGCCAGTGCCTGAAAGAAGCATGGCGCTTCTCATCATCAGCCACGTAGCACTTGTTCTTGAGCAGTTTGGTGCCCTCCAAGTTGTTGAGGTCTTTCATGCGCCCACCCAGGTGCTTGTTGATATCTCGGGCGAACTTGATGGCTAGCTCCACACATGCTATCACATCGCCACCTGTAGTGTGTCTTTCAAGAGGCCACTCGTGGAGGGTGTAGAGACTTGTGGTTGGGTTGCCATCACAGTCAACTCCTTCTGCCATCACGTCCCGATTTTCCATCTTTGCATGGGCCGCCAAGAAGATGGACAGCTGCATGCCGGCGCCCTCGCCAAACATGCCATGCCAAACATCTTTAATCGGATGTACCGCTCCTCGATTTGCATCCGCGTTTGCTCCACCAGCATCGCCACAAGCGTCACATCCACCTGGAGGAAGTGACATTCCGTGCAAGTCGGGTGGGCGGGAAAAGATAGCAAAATGAGAGTGCAGAGCTGGCATTTTCGGACGGCTGTACAAGTGTTTCACATGCACTCTGATAGGGTAGCACACGGGACGGGAGAGATGACAAAATCACCGCATACCTGACGTTGCTGAAACCGGGTGTTGAGCTGGTTGAGCTCACACAAGATGTCAGCAAGGAAACGCAGGAGGAACTGAAACTTGAATGATGTGACCACTTCAAAAAGCTTGTGACGGTGTTCTTCCAGAAGCACGACAACCGCGGGCAACACCTCGAGCAAACGTTGCACCGCCTCCCCGCGAGAAATCCAACGAATCACGTGGATGCCTTGCGTTTCCATATTCGTTTGGCAGAGCACCCACTGGAGATTCATGAATCTCTGGTACCAAAGGTGGGAGCGGCTCAGTTGACTTGCAACAGCGCGAACCACATCGTCGATCATGTCGAGCTCGGGAACAGCCAGCGCCGCGTCTTTGGCGGCCAGCGCCTCTCTGTGACGAGGGGTAAATGGTAACAGGTATATATTAGTACTGTGTAGCCAATCAACAAGAAATTCATAAGATACTTACCGGTGGGCGACGCAGTGAGTGGCCACCAAGTGTTCCACATGCGAGTGGAGACGGACGACGATGCCAGTCGTGTCACCGATCATCACTGATGCACCGTCAGTGGCGATGCCCGAGATCCTTTGCATGTCAAGGCCAATCTGTTGGAAGTACTGCAGCAAAACTGTTGTCAAAGATGCAGCATCAATTCGCTCTAAGGGTCAGCAGGGTAAGAAACTCTGTGACAACAGGGGTTCCTTTGAAAAAAGTAGCATAAACGATGAGGTGCTTGCCGTGAAGACAATCAGTACTCTCATCGATGCTGTTCCCCACCCATGGGGATGACAGCACATGCACCAGTTGAAGATCCGTAAGATATTTCGAGGCAGCTGCGATACACTCGCGAAAGCCGTACCTGCCATACAGTAGACAACAAACAGAGATGTTAGAGAAAGGTTGAACGTATCAACGGCAAACGTGACTGACAACCTTAACTTACTCTGAGTAATAAGACCCGTAAGCGCCACCAGGAGGCAGGTTTGGCAATCCTTCCCTTGCCAAGAACCAGCACAAGGACACAAACAAAGAAATGGATGCATCCGCCTTGCACACAACCAGGGCAATGTGTAACGTGCGAATGAGATGCTTGGTTGCGCGATCTGTTGTCTACCACCTGTCGATCGTTGCTTGCCGCTGCGTGGCAGCCTCTGCCTCTGCCTGGTTCTTCAATGCACTCTCGTGCGCCAGCGTTCCGACGTGGGTACGGATGCTACCGAGTTGCAAATCTCGGCCACCTTCACCTTTCCGTCCATAGCTTGTATTCGCCCATGGATCGCCATGCTCCATGCAAATCTGACACTTAAGAGCAGGGCGACCGCGCTTCATCAGCACGAGTCTCAACCATGCAAAACGCCAAGACCAATCAGTGCTAAAACGACGAGACACAACCTCACACTCAGCCTCGGGTGTGTCTTCCTTTGCTGCAGCCTCGTCCAGCGGCGTAGTGCACGGTGGCTCAGGAACGGATTCGGGTGTTGGAGCTGGACGGGGAGGCGGGGCCCACACAAGACGCTGTTGGCTGTACTTCACCGTCTTCTTCCCCTTTCCCGGCTCGCTGGATTCCGTCCGTGGCGTGCTTTGCTCCGGGACGGAAGAGCCTTCACCACCGTCATAAAAAACGATTGGCTCAGGCAGTTCCATGTTGCGCGCTGAAAGCAGATCGTCGTCAACTGCTTGGTTCGTTGGAAGTACAGGGGATACTGGCCGAGCGGGAGGTGTGAAGGACGGTGCGACGGGGGGAGGGAGTAGTGGAAACAGGCCTAGGAGACTAAGCCCATTTCTCATCTCATCAGGAGGATCAGTATCGTCTCGTTGGTGAGCCATGAGGGAAGGCATCTGGCTGCTGCAGAAACAACCATATGAAGAGGGGCCCCAAGCACGAGGTCCCTTTCATGGCCTCGTGTACCCATAACTGCGCCGCGGTGCATCTTCACATCACTTGAATGCAGACAGCGTGTTGTCCTTCACGGCGGCATACATGCTCTGCTGGCGGTGACTGCTGCACACACTTCTGTGCGATGTCCTTGAAAGCAGCTTTCAAGCATCGTTGGCAGTGCATTTTGCCCACCTTACAGTATGCGCTGGAAGTTGCCAAGAAGGAGGGTGTGTCAAACATTATATGTTTACATTGTGTAGGCTATAGTGGGTTTAGCCTGAGGGGGTACAACATTCTAGGGTTTCCTACTTGTACTCCCAATCTTGTTAGTTCAAACACACTTGTTCATTCTAACATGGTATCACGAGCCTAGGTTGCTACCTAGGACCGCTTTCTACTACGGGCCCACTATTCCGCTAGAAGCGCCCTCGTGCGCCCTACCTTACGTGCGCCCTCGTCCGCCTTTCTCTGCTCGTG